AGAAGGACAGTAAATAGGGAGTGAACTCCGTTTGATCTACCTCCGCTTTGGATCTCCTGTCGGGGATCAACACACCGAAAGAACAACAACATGTAGAGGGCTATTGTTGTAGTTTCTACGAAAGTCACGTCCGTCGTACACGAACTGGGCCACTGCCTCCGTTCCCGCCTCTAGTCTTCCTGACTCTGTCTTGACACCGGGTTCAGGTGTGGAGTGGGGAAGAGAGAGTGCAGTAGATGCAGCACAAGTTTGCTATCAGTAGAGAATAATTCTTGTACTTGTACTTGATACGGCTGCAATCATGCCTGATCAAACCGGCCTCGAGGATGTCATGAACTGTATCTCTCCACGCGTGACGATCCGCGGCAGCAGATCTGGACAACTCAACCCATTCCCTTCGCCAATGACGGAGACCGAATACCGATGGTCCGAGAACCACCTCCATGTCTTGACGAACTGTGTCGAGCCAGGTTTTGAGCTGACCCCCTCTTCGACGCCTCCAATGGGGCAACGGTGCCGGATCGAGGGCAGTAACACTGAGCTCCTGAGGTGGACGACGAAGCACATGTCCGAACCACCTCCGTCGTCTTTCTTGGATTGCCTGAGTTATCCTTGCGATGTTGTCGCGGCGAGTGCGGTCTGTCTTATTTGAGACGGAGTCGGCGAACTTCACTCGAAGGATGGTCCTCAAGCAGGGGTGGTCAAATACCTCCAGTTTTCGCTCGTCCTCCAGGCTGCGTGCGATCAGACTTTGGTTACCAGGGTCGAGGAACGTTCGCACATTCCACCATCCAGTACCAAGAGTCCGTCCCCGATTGAGTAGTCTGGCTCGCATACTATTCGCTCGCACCACTGGACCAGGGTTGCGGAGCGCGTCGGTTCCCGCGGACGCCGTAGCATGGGTCGTAATACTGTGATCGGACATATTTCATGAGGTTTCTTGGGAATTTCGAATACGGACGGGTCCCCAACAGCCGCTCTGATTGTTTGTTCGAGGTTGTCTCCTCTAGCGCTTTGACTTAAAAGCCTAACCACAATGCAGCGGTGGCAAGCGAACTTAATGGTGGTTTACGGTCGCCATGTCACAATGCCGTCACTGGGTTTTGCGGCTTTTCATAGGGCTTTCAGCGTGCCAGACCTCGGCCCACCGCACCCTGGTAGCAATGTCGCTGTGGGTCCGCGACTGCTTATTCGCCATACCTGGGTTTGCCTATTCCGCAGTTAACCTTCACTGAAGGCTGTTCCACTATCCGCCACCTGTGAACGTGCCGGGTAGCCAGCAGCTAGGCTAACGGGCAACCCGACTAATTCACGCGCAGGACACCAGGCTTTGTGGCACACAGTTAACATCACCCGTCGCGATGGTCGAACGGAGACCAGGAATTATTAGACCGCTACTCGACGCATATCCTGCCTGCCTTGGCGATATGGTTTACTAATCTGACAGTCTCAGGATGTGACTCTACTTGCTCTCATCAGCAGACCTCTCCTGTGTTCACATGGTGACCAGTAGTCGATAGTTCAGGGCGGGGACCAGTGCTTTTGAAAAGCTCGTGCTTTGCGCAGAGCCCTTGGAGCGGTAGAAATCCTGACTTTGAGAGGTGTCAACTGACGTAGGATTGGAAAACAGACCGCAATAGCGAGTCCCTTCACTGCGACCACTCAGAACACCCGCCGTCTTGACATTTTATTGCCGTTGAACTAGGGGTGTGGGTGGGTGTGTGTGTTAGATGCCGGTCAAAAGGTCTGAAAGCGTGTACTTTGCCGGTATCAGCAAACCATGGCCACCGCGGCCTGGTACGCGCTAGCAGTCCCCTGACACCCGGTTCTCTTCCGGCAGATGCGCTCCCGCTGGGTATACAGTTGGTGGGCATGGCTGCTCAGTCATCATCATCGTGCTTGTGACCCCTGTCGGGGTGTTGTTGTTGGTAAAAAAATCCTGGTCAAGTGTATGGTGTGGACCAGGGGGTGTGGTGGTACGCCTAGGTGCGGGTCCGGCCGTGCCAGCCACCTGCGCCCTCCCCCGCCTCCGGTCTTCTTGACACCGGGTCCAGGTGGGGAGTGGGGAAGAGAGTGCAGCAGGTGCTGAGCAAGTCTAATATCGCTGTAAACTAATTCACGCACAAGTCGCCGTGCCTGTCGCACCTTGCCGTGTAGCACACGGTGCACATCGTCCGAATCGCCGATCAAACTGTCGTGTTAGATGCTGTGCAATGTGCTCGCCTTCATTTTCATGTATGCGTGAGTTAATACCGCGCCCCCCCCCCCCTCACGCCCGGGAGGGACAGCGGTGGTTCTTGTCGTTCATGAATGGCAAACTACCCGGAGTGATGTCCAATTTCGAATAAGTCTGAATCTGAAGTGGGTACTACATAATAGGAACTTCACCACAGCAGCCTTAGTCGCGTTCGATTTACGGAAACGTCATGGTTTCCAGCAACGGGGTGGTGCGATTCGCACGGATGACGGACGTTTACCGCAACAAAACACTTATCGAGCTGAATTCCACTGAGAACAGAATGGATACTCCAGGGAACGAGAAGCCTGACCTAGCCGGTGCGTGACAAAACCACTCCGTTTTTCTTGGGAGCCAGACGTCCCTCACACTGCTCGGATTTGTGGTAGTGTCGAGTACGGCGCACTATAGCCGCCCCCTGAGGTTTTTTATCTTGCTGCCATCTTAGGCAAACTGTCACATCGAGCAAGGGATTCAATCAGACGAAGTTGCTGTCCTTAATAGATCCAGAGTCAGACTCGCGACTTCGGTTGAAGTGCTTCGATGGGTTGTGCATGACTTCCGCCGCCAGTGTTGACTCGGATCCCCAGAGCTGAGATAGTTAGGTTACCAAAATTCATGATTTCGTCCCTGAGAATGTAGTTGCCCGTTCACCCCTGTCTACTTTCCGGGACTTATCCAAAGCATTCGCGTCTTTATGCAGTCTAAAAGTCAGGAGCCATCTGTTTGAATCCGCCACGGCGGGAGGAGAGGTTTCGCAAACTCCCTCGGCCACCCTCTGTAATTTCGCCAGCCAATGGCCCTTCGAGGTGGTGCCAACGCTCATATTCACCCTGCTACGTGCGCAAAAGTTGTTGCGGTCAGTCCTGAGCCTCGCCGTCCCCGACGATTGAACTGTCGTAATCAAATGCAGTCAGTGACCGATCTCATGAAATGGCCGAGATTCTGAAATGCGTTTTCTATTGGGGTGAATTGCTTGGCTGGGCTTGTAGTGTTGATTACCATAGGGAATAACTCTATAATATTTCGGACCCGCCAGGGTGTTACCTTTTGAATGCCCGTCTTTTCAACTTCCTGTAAAAACCGCGCCCCGTAAAAATTCCTACTTAAGTAGTATGCAATTTCGCAATGACTTTCGATGAGCTTATAAGTTCGAATATACTTTACAGAAAAAATGCACAAAATATGCTTTCTTTCATTCATTTGGTGGCGAACCACGTCGTATTCACATTTGTAATCGAAGAAAGGGTATCTTTCGATTTTAACAAAGTGTATAATTATGAGATGTTTAAGGCCGGGAAATATTAATTCATACAGCATCCCGTCTGTGCGTTTATTAATGCTCCTCATGAAATATACAACATAGTCCGCATCCATTGCCAAATTTCATGGACTCTATATGCTATCTTAAATGCATTGAGGAATGTGGGGCTCTTTGTACGCAGGAGGTATACACCTTTTCGACCGAAATCGCTAAACGCAACGGCTGATCTGGCTCCAAATTATTGGGGAATTAGAAAATTATGTCAAAACCTAAATATGCTCTGTCTTCGAGTATAAAATGTAAAGAAGACGTGATTGACCACCAAATGAGTGAAAGAAAGCATATTTTTGAGCACGATTTCTATAAACTATATTTTATTTTATAAGGCTGGCAAGTAACTTAAATCCAAGGCACCTAGCCAAGGGCTGAGCTCCGCATCAACTCCAGAGAAGTGATCGAAAATGGTCATGTGAATTCTCGCTGCAAAAATAGACTCCTCGGCACGGTAAGTGTCGTGCCTGCCTGCTTGTGTTCTCTAAGAAATACTGCTTTGCACAACGGCGGACTCTCTCCAAGATGGCGGAATAACACCAGACAGTCAGCACTGAACCAAGCCAGCCAAGGCATGTGTGCTTAATTAAGTTTTCTACCTTATACAACAGGTCTCCGATGACTGTCCGACCGCCGAGAGCAACGACATCCACGGAGTGCTCTACCGGCTGGGCTCCACACCGTTGACTTTCGCGGGAATTCGTCTATAACTAGGCAGACTTGCACAACGCACCTATCACCCTCCATCTCACCTCACCAACCTTGCACAGGTAGTACGAAAAGATCAAAATGAATGGAAATGGGCGCGAGCCCATTGGTTCAGAAAGTCAAACAGCCTGTCTGCGAGTGCTAAAAACGTCTTGTCCGCACTAAATGTACCAGGCGCTTCCGTGAGGACGGCTCACATGTCAAGTTGGTGGGTGCCATCAAGGCCACGTGGAAAAGAGATATTGCAGCCTGAGTCTCAGTCCTCTAATCACTAAAATATTCCCATGATGACCCACTAATCCCGTCACTTGGTAGCCTTCCAACCCCTCGACTCTTGGCGCACTCAGTGATTAAAGATAGGAATGCGCTTATGTGCCGTGAGAATGAATTCAATAGTATCGACCTTTGTTCGCCCTCTCTCTCATGTACCAGTAGACTGTCTGTTCGCGCCGATTTGCCTTATTTTAAGCTTGTTCAGTTGGAAATAGTCAGGACGGGAAAGTGATTACTTCATGACAATCCACACTTTTAGATCCATGACTTTACCTGAAATTCTGTAGTGAGGTTTGAGAGGCCAAACCCTACAACACGAAATGCCGCAGCAACCAAGTCAGTAAACCCAGCTTATGGTTCTGAGTCGGAAGTTCTGGGGTCGAGCATGCGGAAAAGCTTCATTCGAACATACCTACTTTTCGAAAGTCACAACAGAAGGTAGATCGGAAATGAGAGATTAAACACTGTTCACACTCTATTTAGTTTGGTAACAATGAGCAGGCGGAGAGTTTGATCAAAAGCCACACAGACAGCTAAACCCATCTTGTCCCTACACCAGTCTAGGCCGGAGATGGGTTGTGTTGACAGTGTAATATTTTGCAGCAGCGAAAGACTGCCGGCCACACCTTCAGCCACTTCAGTCGTCGGTTGACCCTCAGCAGTGGGGGTCACCTGAACCATCTTCCGGCGCTTTGCCGGGTAATTGTACTTCCAGAGGCACAATGACCCGTTTCCACCGGTCGTCATAAAGATGTCCCTCTGCTGCGGCAGATGTCGGACCTGCCAAACAGTCGAGGAGTGGGCCTTCTCAGTGAGGCAGGCGAATCCCTTCTCTGGATGTTGAGTGCGCATATCGAAGACGTGAATCTTCGACTCCAGCGTGGTTGCCACGAGTTTGTTCATGTCAATGTCTTTCCTATCAAACTCCAACGCACAGACGCCGTTCCGGACGTTCTTCTCCCAGCGCACCTTCATGGCGCGCAGATCGAACAGTTTGATATCACCATTGTCATAGCCTGCAGCTAGACAGCGATCGTGAGCATTATAGGCGTGTCCAAAGGCCACAGTCCAACAGTCTCGGCTTGACCCCACTGAGGGATTGTCTCCAGCGCTGGACTGCTTCTCGTCCTGAGATGGTTCCATGGTGACAACGGGTGTTTTGGGCTGTCGGGGATCCCAGACCTTGACGGTTCCGTCTCGACTGCCTGTTGCTATCTCTGGAGCGCCCTCACCCACGCCGAGTCCGCCAACGCCGTCGATGGTGTTTATGATTTCAGAATGTGCCTGAACTGCGTAGATGGGCGCGTCCAGACGCCCACCCTCAGCTAAATCCCAAATGGCCATGCGTCCATTGAAGGCGCCCGTTGCAAGGTGGGCGTAGGGGAGACGGGATGCGCCAAATGTGCAGCATTTGTAGGAATTGGACTTTTCTACCTGGATAGTTAGCAAATAAACAACTTGGTAAATCCCACTAGAGATGGAAACATGCATACAATGGGACACACAAAAAGGACTGGGTAAATTTCAACTAAGCAAAATGTGTAACAAATTGTGCAAAAGTTTTGCTGGCGCTAGTTCTTCACGACTCGTTCTGCTAGGCGGCTTGTAATCGTCACAAGGCTCAGAGACGGAAAAGAATCAGTTGTTTTGCAGAAAACATGACCTTTTGACGCCGGGTGGCATCGCATAGTTTACAAACAGAAGACAAGTCAATGAACACTGTGAAATTCACTTCAGGGAAAGTTCGACGTCTTGAATATAGCATCAAGGCGTCCATTCTACGAGAAGAGAGGATGCCAATTAAGAAGAAGGCAAAGGAGTACCTATTTTCTTACCCTCGGTAATCGGTCGAATTGGAACCGAGTAGACTGAGGAAATGAACTGGAACCAATCAGCACAACGCAAACTTAGCTCTAGCGTTGGCAAACTTGAGGCATCTTGGGTATACCTCATCAATCAAAATACTAAAAAATCGAAATCGTAGTTGCGTCGGATCAACCAAAAGTTATCACAAATGTAAGACTGTAAACGAGTGGACTTCAATGATGAAGTTTCGAAACCGGTACTCAGCAGAATCTACAGAAACTTTGCCCACTCCTTACTGGCAACTAACACAGCTGTTTTCTTTGCAGTTTTGCTCCAAAAAATGAGAAGAAACGTAGTTCGAAGCTAGATGTGGATTTCGAGCCTCAAATGTACACCGAGGTGAAAAAACTGACTACTGAGTGTATGTAAGTAGGGCCGGAAAGGTTAATGTAATTGTGCAAATAGGGGCAGAGTAGATATAACGCTAAGTCAGCCACAGCGCCAAATCTCGTCACCAAGCCGTTAACCGACTCGGACAATCGATGATGCGTGGAAGGGAGAGGACGGGACGAGGCTGATACTGCGACAATCCATCCTTAAGAAAAATTAGTACGTACTTTCTTCACTTAGTGCTAGAACATAATCAATGGTCTCGACAACGCCTAAACGAAATTATCATAGATTAAAAGGTTGCATCCAATGGGACCTCCGACTATCAACCTGAGGAAATATCGTCCAAAAAACGAATATCCAAAAAGTGGCTTCGTATTCTAGCCTCTGCCCCCACTCAATAAAAGCAAAAATAGGTCATTAAGAAAAACCCAGCATTAGCTACAATTATCAGTACCCATCGGCACTGCCCCGTCTCTCAATGTTTATCCAGGGGGCGCACACCGACCACGTCACGAGACCGGTTATTCTCGTTTTGTCTTGAGGCTCAATCTGAAGTCCTTGCGGGCAGTCGTATGGCGACTAATACTTTAAGCCGGTGATTCTTGCTCTTCCAATACACAACACCAGTCAACGGTTTTGTTTCTAATTTCAAGTCTGGCTTGAAAAGACGCAATCATGGCAGGAAACCATCAGCAGAACAGGAGCCTTCAGGTCAACAATCTGGATGATTGGAGACTTGTCAGGCTGTTCACACAATACATCTCCGCATGCCTCATCACTACCGAAGTGATCAGGCAACCTTACCGTGCAATTTTCCCTCAATCTATTAATGGCTGCGACTCGAACGAACAAACTCATCGCACTGATGATCGTTGATCGAGAGTCCGACCGCCGCTGGCAACGACGTCCACCGTGTGCCCCGCGGGGTGAACACAGCACCGGTGACTTTTGCGTAAATTAGTTTATAGGGGGGCAGACTTGCGCAGCATCTGCCACAAGCTCCCCTCCCTCACCCACCAGTCTCCAATGGCGAGTCAATTTTAAGACGGCCGGGGATGAGCTCTTTCATGGTAGCTGGCAAGCTTAAACGGCCCGTCTACGTGTGCCATACGCGACCTGGTTCCCAGACAATGTACGGGGCTTTTGTGGAATGGAGGCTCGAGTCCCATTTAAAAGAAGACGAAGGCACGATCACTGGGACGGTAGATTTATTGGCCTTAGCTTTCAAACTCGGACTGGAGTTCATCATCAGAGAATGCTAGAGTGCAGCAACGTGTGAACATTCATATCGTTGTGCCGTGAGGGGAGAAGACTACGTCCATGGCTAGGTCTGGTTTTTGCCGCCTGGTCCACAATGATCCCCCGGCGTGGTGACGCCGTTTGTACTTCGCGGTGGTATGAGCTGCGCCACCTGGCTGCGTGGGCAGAGTGCGTGATAACACGCAGGCAAATCAATGTGTCTATTAATAAAGTTGGTGTCCGACACCCACGCCTCCAACAGTTCTCGCCCCGTCTTGTTGCCGGCTCACGTCAATATCCGCATGTTGGCGAAGTCGAACTCATGGCCTTCCTCTAGCTTGTGAGTGGCGACTTGAGATAGTGGGTCGCCTCTCCGAACGGCCCGTTTGTGCTCAAGTATTCGTGAGCTGAGGCATCGTCCTGTTTGGCCTGTGTAGTGGCAAGGACAGATATGGCACGGGATTTGATAGACTACGCCTGACTGCTCACCCGCGTCCACCCGATCCTTCATTTTCATGATACTGCTACGCATGGTGGCCGCCGGATGATGAGCGATGCCCACGCCTAACTCTGACGCAATGCGTTCTGTAGCCTCGGACACATTCTTTTTGTACGAATCCCATGTCTGCGAGAGTGCCATGGAAGCCAAATCAAGTGGCTGCTGGCTTTGACTCTTAGTCGTCGAACTAGTTACCCTCACATACCCACAGTACTGACCACAAGGACAGATCGACCCAATGATAGTAGGTATGAGTAGCAGACACTCTGTTCACTTCGGGACGATAGCTGGTCGGCTTAACAGACGATAAAGATCGGCATAAGCCTTCTGTTCTGTCGATATAATGCATAGCATACAACAAAATGCTACGTCCCCTAGGAGCTTCCATAGGTCATTGTTCCCACTCAAGTCCACAAGAGTACTTTGGATTTGAAAGAAGCGAAACAAGTCCCAAAGAAATTTGTAAGTCCGAATTGTGGCAGGTTGTAGGAAAAAAATTCACGAAATGGACTGAAATAGACACACTTTAGCAGTCGACGACACAAGCGGAGGCATATTTTTGCTCGTCTCCGAGAACACTGTTGTAAAGCATTGAGGGTGGAGCACGTCATAGGTATCTCGAACTTGTAATGAGGTTGAGATTGCGCGAGGCTTGTCAGAAGCAGCATGACAATTGTAAACTACGTCTCAACTAAGTAACCAAGGATATTATGACAACCCATCGTCATTCTCATAACTTGACGTACGCAGGAGGAAGAGGGCGTTCACTCTAAAGTTGACGAATACGATGGCATTTTGACCTTTGATAAGGCTTTCAAATACACAGAGGCTTATGGAGAGTAAGATCAGGCCAGAAGATAACGAAATAAATCACAAATTATAAAATTTGTTGGGAAACCCATCGCACTTGCGAAAGAACGAGATCTTGGCGATTTCGGCAAAAGCTTTAAGGCTCACGGGGACATTGGGGATCAACTGGGGAACTCGTTGCGCGTTTAAAAATGCCTTCGCATATGAAGTGTTCACATTTCTCAGGAAACTTGACTCTCGATGTAAGAAAATACAACTGCAACGGAGTCAAAGATAAGGGAGAAGGAAGGTGACTAGAATAACAGGAAATGGATCACAGTGCATATGACAACTGTTTACCTCGTATACAAGCTTCACATCTGTCGCAGTGACGTCATACACCTGGAGCTGGGCGGTGCCACGAGGATTGGAACCCACAACTACAAACTTCGTGCTGACGGGGACCCATTTGCAATCATAAAGCGTGTAGTTCAACGACTTTTGTATGTGACCGATGATTTGCGGCTTGTCCATGGCATAGAACCAGGCTGAGAATAGAAATTGAAACAATAGACGGGATTCAACGTCTTATCCACCTGTTATGACCTGATCATAAAGAAGACGAAACGCAGAAATATGCCAAACCGAACAGTAAATCAAGTTAACTTATGGCGAGCATCTTCAACCTGGAGTCGGCAGAACAGGAACCTGAGAGGCTGTCAGGCAAGACGAGTTTCAACGGCCTGATAACCTACCGAGTGCTTGAAGGCAGAACCTTGTCAGTGGATATGGACTGGGTTAACCTACTACAAATTCCAGCTGAAATGGCTGTGGGTACATGAAGTCCCAGTGTTAAGACAAAATTTCTTTGCCAGCAACATTTGTGGCAGGGTAGCTCTAAGTGATTCAATGAGTTCGAGAAAAACCCGAGTGAAGGGACTGCCCATATAGCGAAGAACCCTTTTATTTTACAAACCAAGGAAACTAAAGAGTGTCCGATTGGCAATGGGAGAAGAATCTGAGGGTAAGTCATGAGGGGGTGACTTATGAAACATCGACTGAAATTCTGAAATGTGGTTTTGTTTTGAAATGTTTACTAGGGTAAAGTTGTAATATTTATTACCATGCGATAATCCCATGCTATTTCAGTCGAGCCAGGATGCCGACTAATGAATGCTTGTCTTTCCAGCCGCCTGAAAAAGTCGCATTCGCCAAAAACGACAGCTTAAACAGTACGAGTTTTCAAGTATATTTTATACCATGCGTAATGACATCTCTTCTTGTACTCATTTTGTAGGAAACTGCGTCTTCAGATTTTCCGCCCAAAGAAATGGTAGTTCTGGATTTGAAAATGTCTATATCCATGGTATTCTCCAAGACCGAGTATCCGTCGTATCTGTCCGTTTACTAGCGCTTATTGTAAAGCGTGCGATGTGGTTCATATCAATTTTAAAATTTTATAAAATTCCGTATATTCTCTTCGTAATAGCATAGAAGACTGTCTTATTTTCCTCAAATGAAACTGTGCAGCTAATACTCTAGAAATCCTGAACGTAAGTGAGGCGGTACGATGGGCTCAAATTACTCGGAAATTTTTACAATTTCAGGTAAATTGACAGGTAAAAAATTTGCGTACGTCATTTATTACAATACGGGTATGGGAAAGGATATTTTTGTGCATGTTTTTTTTAAAAAATGCCTTTGAATTGATAAGACCGTTGGAAATCAATCAAAGAAAATTGCAACGCTCAGGTTGTCATTTCTACCGACGGCTAGACAGACGCATATTCAGAAGTCCACGTCCTGGCATGACTGAAATATCTCGGGATTATGCTGCATAGTAATCAGCACTATAACCTTACACAAGCAAATCTTTCGAACCCAAGTCATATTTCAAAATTTCAGTTAATTTTTCATGAGTTAGGTCACCTACAAACGCAGACAGCATACAAGAATCCACATTCTAGAAAGTATGAGGCACTTGTCGGATCAAGCCAAAATAAGATATTCTTCCACGCAAAAAGGAATGCGCTTGGACAAGGAGTTACAGATCGAAGGTAACGTCTGTCATCCGAAAAGTCTACGAAGAAGCTACATGGATAGGGATCGGTTCGTATGTGGTAAAATCAAAAATAGCATGTCTGTGATGTTATACTACTCTGATCCCTATTTTGGCAAAAGGCGGTGGCTGGAACCACCGCTTAGTCTTTAAGGGTTTCAGGTTGACCCCCTCTGTGTTGCGTTCAGTGAGACCATGGACATCGGCTCTGACCATGTGAGGAGAACGATAAGGAAAGTACAAAGCCAACGCTGGCGCCTCTCCCTGATATCCTCGCGATGTAGTCGCAGTGAGTACATAGTGATAGTTGAAACGAAGTCTATAAACTCCATTCGCAGAATCACTATCAGGCAAAAAGGGCTGAAAACCCCCGCATTCACAACCAAACAAGAATGTCCCGGGCTACGAAGATATCGGAACGGATACACGAGACGCTTCAAAAGCTTGCGAAAACTCCGCGAACAGCATAGATTTAGCGACAATCCCATTCTTATTCTTTACGCTCGAAGACGACCTCACACCAAGACAGTTGAAATAGCACATTTCTCTAAACTTACAGTCGTTGACCATGAGATGAGCCTTCTTTTAGTCAGGGGTGCAGCCTGACAATACTTCGGTTGTTGCCTTCTCCCTGAGCGAAGCGACTGATTTGATATCTCGTTTACCAAAAGACTAGATTCTGAAATGCATCCCATCTTAACAATAGAAGGACCGCATTGTCAGCGTAGACGAAGACTGTCGATGGGCGTCCCGATACGAATCCGACACACCCAAGATTAACAGGTCATCCAGGTAGCTAGTCGAGGTCGCAGTTATGCAGAGAGAGGTATTGGATGCAATCTTGTCAGAACATTGAACGTCTGGCAGTGCTGTTAGCCGAAAACCACGCGATGGTGGATAGTAAGCATTGAAGACAGCGAAATTCCTGGGAAACATCAGCTTATTATATTATAAGTCATGGGGACTCACGAAAAACGATCGCAAACACTGCACTAAAGTCGACGAAATAGACTACGGTGGGTTGCTGGTAGCCGTGGCAGAATTAGGGAGTGAGCTTCAGCATAAATATCCAGTCGATGCATCTACCTCCATCATAAGCCCGGGCTCGACTAGTTTTTGTCTTTGGGTCGCGGTCACTCTACAACCTTTGTGAATGATGGTGATAAAAACGGTTTCAGAAACGACGATAAAAGGTGTGCCGCAGTCGCTGACATATCTCGTTTTTTCTCCTTAAATGAGGTGTCGAAAAATAGTTGGGTGTCAGTCATCAGAAACGAGTCTGTCCCAATATGGTCGTCCAAACATTCCATAGAGTTTGAAAGAAGCAGGAACTTTTATACAAAATCTGCTAACCTTAAGGGCGAAGCCACGACTTCCAAGGCCCTTGTTATTGCTTAGTAACAACGTCGACAGTACGTAGGCCGTGGACGGACATTTGTTTCAGAAGTAGGGGACTAATCGACCGCCCTGGTTGAGAAAATGGTCCGTTTACTCATTCCAGCGTTTGGTTTTGGTCAAACTGCGAATAATGAAACCGTAAAGCACATCGACAACGGTCACCCAGTCCAGAGTACCTGTCAACATGGTAAATAAACTGGTAGTTTCCGAGTACCATTTATCCCCACGGGGCTCGGCATAGCGGGTAACTCAGCTCTTACGAAATTTTCTGTTAACCTTGCTGTCGGGTTACCGCGTTGGCAGTAGGAAATATTGCACGAAGTATTTAACTGTAGACAGACGACTAATAAGCCCTAAAGATCACACATACATATGTATGTACCGCAATATTGCGGTACGAATGGACGAAGCCAAGCACAAAAAGTTGACGCTAAAATAAATATGTGTATTCTTTGGGATTGTGCAACAACCGTGACCAGGTTGGTTAATTAATCAACGCACAAAAGAAAAAGGGCAAAACTCTCAGAACGAATTAACCGACTTTATAACAAGAATTCAAAGTTAGTACGGTAGTGAATATAACGGAATACAGAAAGGGCGTATTCGTACTACAGCCTGGCTGTCGTGAGGTTGCTATGTACGCTTACCTCAAAAACGACGCAAATCTAGTTACAGTCCAAAGCATATTTTGCGCCAAAACGCAGGGCATCGCTGCCCGAAGGGTAAGAAAAACTGATGCTTACTAGTCTGCCAAGAGTGACGTATATTCTCCTTCCTGAATAATGACAGAGGCTCTTGGGGAATGGTTTTTACATAAGTCATTACCACATGATCCGTCCAAATATGATCACTGGAAAATACTGCTTCTGATGAATAAGACGGTCAAAGCAGCTGAAAACAGTACAATATGGTCGGGGGATTCTGGGAAATTTCCTGAGGTGTGATTATTTTTTCGGACAACTGTTAAAAGTACTTCATGTTTTTTTATATTGTTATTGTTATGCGGAAACCTTTGCTACTTTCCTACATGGCGGTCCCACTCGCGGATGTCAGAGAGGCAGTCACCAATGCAGCCTTCGGCACACCTAGCCAGCCTCCCATTTATTGCCTTCGCACGTGTGACTCGGCCTTTCGTCCGTCGACACTGTAACGCTGGCTTGTAGTTTTGCCTCCATCTATTAGATGCAGGCTGAAAAAGCCCGAATATGCACACTTCATCCGCGTTAAGGAACCACAAATTGCTTATACATGTCAGATGCGGACATTTGCTGCCTCCGTCTCCTGAGCCGTGCGCACGTTCTTTAGTCTTTATAAAGAATTCTAATAATTCCGTCTATTCTGGCTTCTGGTTTGGGCAATCTTGTCAATGTACAAACTGCACTCTGGAACGTCTAATATGTGCTTGTTCCTTCAGCAATGTTACAGTGTCCGGGAGACTTTTGGGTAAAATACGAACTTACTTATTTAAATGGCTTATTTTTTATCGTGCGGGTCACCCAGTTAGCACACCTCTCTTGCCAAATTTTCAGAACGACTGCAGAATGAAAGCTATTTAATTTCGAGTAATGTCAGTGCTAGGATAATTGCACTGATATAAGATGTCGTATCGAAGATATATTTTATGTATATAGGTATATATTTGTGTTCTGACCTTCCTGATACTTAAAATCCCGTAGAGCGTATACGCACTGGACCCTTGCCCCCAAAACCAACGCCGCAGAGAAGGAGAACGCGACCGGCCACGAAAATGTGTATTAGGAAATTGCAAGTCCAAATTAACTGGAAGTAACACATATTTATAACGTCCTACTGTGCTTCGCCGGCATGCGGCCCAATGCCCTTCGTGAAGAACATTCCAAACGAGCCGGTCGATAAATCGACTATGCAGATCGATCAGGCCCGAGGGGAAAAGCCAATGGAGGGGCGCCACGATTAAGATGACAGCGCAGTAGAGAAAACGCACGTGGCCATCCATGACTGGCTGGCTCTTGTTTTTGGGAGTGTAGGCACTTCCAACAATTTGAAGGGTTAGAGGCAGATCCCTTGATGACCCTATTTATGTACAGCGCTTTCGCAGGTTTGTGCTCAAAAATAAAATTGCAGGCAGTTACAATGTGATCGAGTCACAGTTCAATAGTAATCATAAGGTAGTGCATAGGGTCACTGTAAATTAGTGCGGAGGGTTTTTTACAAAAATGGCTGTGCATAGTCATGCTGTAAAAGCCAACTTCTCAGTCAGTCAGTCAGTGTCAGTCAGTGTATTTGAGGGAAATAGGCTTACGCCTTTGAACTCCCTATTTGTACATAAAAAATCGAAAAATTAGCAGAATGTGTAGAAATTACAGCAGTAATTGTATGCAGACATTGATTCACACATGTCACTGGTCACA